TTAGGTTTTGCAAAATTACATGTGTTTACTACATATTGAAAATATTCCTGGTATTCACAGTCTTCCTCCACATCAATAATCTGGGTATTTGCATACTCCATCTCTGTATCTGGTACAGGTAATGCCAAGTGTTCTGCCCCTGTGGTATTCAGGCAAATAATATAGTGAATCTGGTCTTCCGCTTACAGTGTCGTGCCTTGACCTTCTAATGTAGTGTGTATTCCAGTGCTGTAATACATGATCCAAATCTGTTTGACAAACTTGCGAAGCAAAACCACAAACACTCTTTTTGTAATTTGTGTTGGTATCCAACATTCGTTGAGCCTCTAATCTTTGAACAAATTAATCCACCATGTAGAACGATTTCTTCTTAAAAATGACCACCATCCCTCAATTCTTTGATTATGCTGAGATGTAACGTATCTATGAGAATCGGCGTCATCTCTGAAGAAACAATGAATGGCAGCCATTGTGCCATTCAGTGCCTAGGTCGGTATCTAGTTGTATTGGGGATCCACTGAACTCCCTAACTGCATCCACATAATACCTGGCTATATTGTCTGGTGAATTATTGGAACGTGTAACAAAGAGCCGTAGTATTTTTCTACTGTAACCATCTATACAACCCTGAATAGGAAAACCAAATGGTTTCAATTTGTCGTAGTCATCGGCATGCCAGGTAAAATTTGGTCCAGGAGAGAGGTACACTCTTCTTTTAAGTTGGTGTGCTTTTCGCAGCTCTGTTCCTTCTGGGTCCAACTCACGCAGGAGTTCCTGCACTACAATTTGTGGAACTCGGATACCATGCAGCTGAAGTGTATGCCACACTGTTCTGTATCCGCCATTACAATCAGGATCGTCTAACATTTGTGCAATTGTTCCTCTTATAAAATTAATATCTTAGTCGGGTGTTCTTCTCCTCAATCCGTATTGCTTAAGTCTCCTCATCAATGTACTCTTGCTTATATTTATATCATAATACTTTGAAAGAAAATTAACGATTTCGTCATGCTGATTTAAGTTTTGTTTTGTATAGTTGTGTTGCGATAAATTTAAGTTTTGTTTTGTTTTGTAAAGTTGTGTTGCGAGAAATTCAAGTTTTGTAAAGTTATGTTGTGATAAATTTAAGCTTTGTTTTGTAAAATGAAGTTGTGTTGCGAGAAATTTAAGTTTTATTTTGTAAAATAAAGTTGTGTTGCGATAAATTTAAGTTTTATTTTGTAAAATAAAGTTGTGTTGCGATAAATTTAAGTTTTGTTTTGTAAAATAAAGTTGTGTTGCGCAAAATTAAAGTTTTGTTTTGTAAGTTAAATTTGTGTTTCGAGCAACAAAGTCTGTGTTACGGGAAATAAAACATGATGTGACACCTGTGGGCCACCGTACGCTTTCCCATCGCTTTTACGCAGAAATCACTGACATCACTCTGAACTTGTAAATTAACATCGAAA